TCCCTGGTCCAAAAACGATAATAAAATATTGACTATGTTCTGTGGTTATTAGTGACCACTCTTATTCAGATATAGAATGAAAAAGAGCAAGTAGGAAGCTGGAGAGATGGCTCAAAAGTTGAGAGTACTGGCTGCTCTTCTAGAGGTCCTGAGTTCAATCCCCAGCAACTATGGTGGCTCACAACCACCTATAATGAGATCTGGTGTCCTCTTCTGGCCTGCAGGCAGAATACTGTATACAAAAGAAAAAAAAAAAAAGGCGGTGCAAAAAGCAATACAAAAATATGTACAGTTTCAAGAGGAAAAAAAGAGCACCAGGAAATTTAATGTTGTGGCCAAGGGTTGTGCTGAAAGAGAAAAGGAGACCACGGCTGGGGAGGAGATCCAATGGTAAGAGCACTTGGCTGCTCTTGCAGAAGACTTAGGTGTGGTTCCCACATGGTGATATTCTCTATCTTGCAGCTTCCATGCTGCCAAAACTAATACCACATGGGAGACTCTTATACATAACTAAGTTTAGCACCCTCAGGGTAGTTCACAACTGTCTGTTACTGCAGGGGATCTGTCTGATGCCTTCTTCTGGCACACATGTTGATACAGATATACAAGTAGACAAGACACACGTATACATAAAATGAAAACAAATCTTTAAAGAGAGAGAGAAGCCAGGCAGCGATGGTGCACATCTTTAAACCCAGCACTTGGGAGGCAGAGAACTCCGGTGGAATTCTGAGTTCAAGAGCAACTTGGTCTACTACAGAACAAATTTGAGGACAGCCAAGGCTATGTAGAGAAACTCTGTCTCAAAAAGCCAAGAAATAGAGGACCAGGGAAGATCAAGGCAAGGCCCAATCTGTATTAGGATGAAGGCCTCTTGTTGATGGCCTGCTTTTCTGTTACCCAGATAGAAAGAGTTACAGGAAGGGTAACCCACAACTCTGAGGGCTGGGAAGGTATTCCAACTTCTGGGGTGGGCCAGGGTCCCAAGGCCATCCTGAGACAGGGGAGCCCATAATCCAAACTATGAGGTGGGACTCCGTTCCAAGCATATCCTGAGGCATGGTAGCCCAAGAACCATACAGCTCTAAGAGAAAGTCTCAACAGACTTTCAACATTATAGCTCCCAGGGGAGAGTTACCCCAATCCCTGAGTTGCTGAGGAGCTTTGGAACCTGTTACCCACTCCTTCAGCTGCTGCAGCTCCCAGGGGAGGAGCCTGAGCTCCACTCCTTCAAATCTTCTCTTCTTCGTTGTTGCTTCTTCTGATGAGTCATACCAGGCAGTAAATCTCTTAAAAGAGATTTATTGGAGGGACGAATCCAGGAGTGGCTGCTTCTGCTCCCAGAAGGTAGGAAGATACAGCTTTTATATCAGATTTCTCGGGGTGGAGCTTTCTGGGGCAGGAATTTCCAGATCTAGGATTGGTGGGATTTCAAGTCCTGAGATTGGGGAGCTCAGGGATTGGTGGGATTTCCTGTTCAGGGACTGGTCAGTTCTCCTGCTCAGGGACTGCTTACTTTTGCTCAGGTATTGATGGGGTTTTGTCCAGATTTTTCACCTAAAATTAGCATGATCTGGGATAAATCTTCCTGAGGGGCAGGAGACAGAGGACAGTTACCGAGGTCTGGGGGTGAAGCGGGGCTGCTGGAGCTTCCTCAGGCAGAGGCCTGGCCACTTTTCTCCCTTGAGGGGCTATAAAATGTACAGACTCCACTGTGGAGGCAGTAGGCTGAAGCAGGAAATGTTATGATACATGGACAGCTCCCATGGCAGCAGGAGACATCCTGAGGCAGAAAAGATGTCAGCTTCCATAGCAGTAGCCTGAGGTAGGAAAAGCACCATGGTGCTTAAAGGTGCTGACAGGAGCTGCCATTTTGTCTCCTGTCTCCACAGCCCCAGGGGGGAAAGGAGGGGCTGACAGTTTGCCACTTGAAGTTTTAGTGGCCCATTGCTCAAGGGCTAGACATAGTTCTTGTGTGTGTGTGTTGGGGGGCGTATCAGTACAGTTAGTGTATGAGGGGCAGTGGGGGATGGCTTGGGGCGGGCTGCTATCTCTGTGGTGGCCTGGGATGTCCACTATGGCTTGGGGCACTATCTCCACCACAGCGGGTCCCCAGGTGTAGTGGCAAGGTGGCTTGGGACACCTGTCATCTCTGGTGGCCCACCACTTCTATTTGTCTCTGTTGTGGCAGGCTGATTGCTGCCACTGCAGCGACAAAAGCCCTACAGCCTCAATGTCTTACTGTTCTTTTGCTCTAAATAGGCCAAGGCAACTTGTAGAAGAAAGCATTTAATTCATGCTAAATAGGTAGTTCAGAATGTTAGAGTCTATGATCGCTGTGGCAAGAAATGTGGCAACAGTCAGGCAGTTATGGTGCTGGAGCAGTAGCTGAGAGCTTGCATCTTACCTGAAGGCACCAGGCAGGCAGACACTCATCAACATTCTGAATGTTGTGTGTGAGGAGCAGTCAGACAGACTGAGCCTGGTGCAGGCTTTTGAAACCCCAAAGCCCACTCCTAGTGACACACCTCCTCCAACAGGGCCACACCTGTCCTTCCTAAACAGTCCACCAACTGGGAACCAGACATTCAAGTATACGAGTATATGCGGTCCTTTCACTCACCACAGCTGCCTCAGGACAAGACCCCACCCACCTAAGCTTCTAACATGTAAACATGAAGAGTCTGAGTAATTTTCTAAGTGTTAAAACAACGAAGGAGGGGCTGGAGAGGTGGCTCAGTGGTTAAGAGCACTGTGCTCTTCCAAAGGACCTGGGTTCAATTCCAAGCACCTAAACAGGAGCCTACAACTGTCTGTAACGCCAATTCCAAGGGATTTGAAACCTTCACCCTATTGCACATGAAATAAAATTAAATTATATAAAAAATAAAATAAAAAGAAAGCAACAAAGGAGAACTACTGCAAATGTGATTCAGTGAGGCCAGACTCCATCCCAAGAAAGCAGCAGAACTTGGCTATGTTGTTCACATTTCTGATTTTAGAGTCATAAAGGGGTCATGGAATCATTGCCTTTGTAGTTATGGAGAGCCACTGAGGCCCTGTGTTTACCAGGGTAGCCTCTGCATGAAGGCCTTGAGAAGCCATTGTGAGAAGTTGTGAAAGTGAAGCCTGGATTTCAGTCAAGTTCCCAGAGCCACGAGACACCTGCCAAGGAGAAATGAGGATGAAGATACCAGCCCAAGAGGGAGAAGCATGTTGCCAGCAGCAAAGCAGGAGAGGTGGAGCCCCCTAAGTTCCCTGACACTGCACAGACCTGCCAGGCTTGGGGCTTGCTCTTCTGGCTTTTCTTTTTGCTTTGGTTCAGCATTTCCTCACTATGCCTTCTTTCCTCTATTTTGAATAGTAATTCATATTCTGTGTATGTTGGAAGCATGTGATTTGCTTTTTCACATGAGATTACCTTGAGTCTTAAAAGAGATTTGGATCTTTAGTGTTGGGACTATGAAAGTCTATGGGGACATTTGAAGTTAGAATAAATGCATTTTGCAATATAGTATGGCCTGTGGGGACCAGGGAGTGGAAGGTGGTGGTTTGAGTGAGAATGGCTCCCATAGGCCGTGTTTGAAGTTTTGGTCCTTAATAGTGGAACTTTTGGAGAAGAATTGGTGGAGGTGCTCTTTGAGGTTCCCAGTGTACTCTCTGCCTCCCACATGTGGGTCAAGGTGTGAGTTCTCAGCTGTCTGTGGCCAAGCCTGCACTCCACCAACATGAACTTTTACTGTCTGGAATCATAAGCTTGCCTTGTGATTTTTGTCATAGCAACCAAAAAGTAACTTTATCAAGCAGCAAGTGCTCTTAACCATTGAGAACTCTAGCTCCTGTTTTTTGTTTTTAATCATCTTTAATTATGTGTGTGTGTGCATTTGCATTGGGTATGTGTATGTGTACTGGCTAGTTTTGTCAACTTGACATAAGCTAGAGTCATCACAGAGGAGGGGCCTCAGTTGAGAAAATGTCTCCATGAGACTGGTCTGTAAGCAAGCCTGTTACCATTTTCCAAATTAGTGATTCATGGGGCAGAGTCCAGCTCATTACGGGTGGCGCCATCCCTGGGCTGGTGGTCCTGGGTTCTTTTAGAAAGCAGGCTGAGCAAGTCTACCACAGGAAGCAATCGAGTAAGCAGCACCCCTCCATGGCCTCGGCATCAGCTCCATCAGGTTCCTGCCCTGTTCCAGTTCCTGCCTTGGCTTCCCTCAGTGGATTGTGATTCAAGATATGTATGCCAAACAAACACTTTTCTCCCCAAGTTGCTTTGATTATGGTCTTTCTTTTTTTGTTTTGTTTTCTTGAGACAGGGATTCTCTTTGTAGCCTTGGCTGTCTTAGATTTGCTTTGTAGACCAGGCTAGCCTCGAACTCGTAAGAGCTCTGCCTGCCTCTGCCTCCCAAGTGCTGGGATTACAACAGGCGTGCACCACCGCATTGTGTGCCTAGATCACAGCGATATTAACTCTAATTAGGACAGCATGTGAATACTGGTGCTCAACCAGGCCAGAGAATCCCTTGGAGACGTAGTTACCGACAGTTGGGAGTTACCCGATGTGGATTTTGGAAACTGAACTTGGGTCCTCGAAGAGCAATACTCTCAACCTCTGAGTTACCTCTCCAGCTGCCTCCAATCGGAACCTGGGTGGGCTGGCTGCCCACCTACTGCGAGGCACCGGGGCCATTCTATCGGGCAGTGAGTTGTAACTGCACGGTTTACAAGAACCATCTGGTTAGAGTAGGAAGTGCCTGCTGAGTTCCCCGAGACAGGGCCCAGCTCTCCAGGGACAAGAACAGTTCTGTTTAAATGTAACTCTCCTCTGAGCAGCGCCAAGTCTGTGCTGGATGGAGCACAAGGCGGTCCAGGGCACTGCCTGTGCCTGTCCTTCCCGTCAGCTCCTGCTGTCACTCAGGAGTCGCTGGGCGGTCCCAGCCAATCAGGGCCTCCAAGCTCACAGCGCTCAATCAAAAGCGCCGGGAGGCGGGTTCTCTGGCCGCCATGCTCCCCGGCCGAGGAAGGCTCGTGGACGCGTCTGCTACGCTGTGGCCGCCGCCGCCGAGACTGTGAGGAGCGCGGCCGCGCTCGGACACCGACATGGTGAGCGCCCAGCCACTGTCCCCAGCGGGGAGCGGCAGCTACAAGGGCTCTCCTCGTCTGCGGGCCCGGACCCGCCGCCGCTGGCAGCGCCCCACTCTGCTGCCGCCACGCAGCTCCGCCCCTCGGCCGCGTCTGCGCAGAGCGCCGCGGGGAGGCCCCGCCTTCCGCGTCTCTGACGTCAGGCTCGCAAAGCTGGTTGGTTGTACATGGGGACAGGTTGCTAAGCTCAAGGTGTTGGGGGCGCCCAAGACCTTCACCTTTGGTGGAGAGTCCACTTTGAGTTAATTTGGTGGAAGTTGTAAACTCTAAGTTTTTTGCTCATGGACGTCTAGGTTGTCGGATAATATTTGTGAAAACCATACTCTCATTTCATTTGCTCTTTTTTGTTTGTTTGTTTTTAATTGACTGTATTGTAGGTTTGTTTTTGGTCTTTTTGTAATGTTTTGTAGGTAGATTTTGTCCCAAATATTCGTACACCATCATGACTTAAATTTTTTGTAAAGATGAAGTTAGTGTTATTTTATGTACTATTTATTTAGAAGTATGCTGAATATCGAGTTTTTTCCCCTTGCTTTAGAACACCTGCTGTTACACAATATGTTAGGATTCTTTTGGGATCGTGTTTTGAATTTGTAGTTTAAATTGAGGAAAGCAACATCATAATGCTGTCTTCTTTTTACCAGTATCACTGCTTATCTCACGATATTTTTTCTTATTTGAAATTTTTTTCCCCACCGGGTCTCACTTTGTCCGTGATTCTCATGGTTGTGACCATCAGAAAACACATATTTCTGGTGGTGAACTGAGACACCACTCAGTAACAACATTACAGTTACAAAGTAGCAATGAAAATAATTTTATGGTAGGGGCTCATCACAGCATGAGGAGCTATGTTAAAGGGTTGCAGCAGTAGGAAAGTTGAGAAACACTAATATGTGTAATCCTGTCTGTCCTTGAACTTGCTTTCTAGATCAGGCTCATCTTGAATTCACAGAGGTTTTTTGTCTCTGCCTCCCAAGTGCTGGTATTAAAGGCCTGTGCCACCATGCCTGGCTTGATTCTTTTTTGAAAAAGAAATTTATCTTCATCTAAAGATCTTTAATACACTTATCAAGTTTTCTTTGTGTCCCCTTTGATCTGTGGTGCTATCCACTCTGTGAAATTGCTAACCATTCCATTGTTCATTGCTGTTGTATTGGAAAATGATGGTGTTCCTGTATTCATCTTGTTTCCACAAGTTTGCTGTAGTATTTTATTAGTTCCTCGAGTATTTGTTGGTCTTGGAATTTCTCTTTGAAAAGACTTGTATTTTATTCATTATACTTTGGAAATTTTTATTTTTGAGATTATAATACAATGACATTTCTCCCTTCCCTTTCTTCCCTCCAAACATTCTCCCATATCCCCTCCCTGCTCTCATCAAATCCAAATTCATTGTTACTGTGCTCATACGACATAGATTCCTAAATGTAACGTGCTCCGTGATGTTACTGGTGTGTATGTTGTCAGTGCTGACTGCTTAGCACTGGACAACCTAGTGCTCTGTCCTGGGGAAGCCCACCTCTCCGGCTTTCCTCAGTTACCTTTTGTTCTTTGTGTAAGGTTGAGGCTTCGTGCACTCGTTCCTGTCCACTTTGGCATGTCTGCTGATGCTGTCTTTGTTCAGCTCCTGTTTGGGTAGACTTTACAGTGGTCAGACTTTTTGAGTGTAACTTCTGATATTAGGAGGAGATGTAGTCTCACAGCAGACCCCTGATCCTCTGATTGTTACAGTCTTTCCACCCAAGACTTGTATTTTTTTAAAACTCAGAGGCTCTGCTGTCCGTTCTCTTGCCAGGTGTATCGTCTACATCTGGTCTTCATGTCTTTTCTAACCCCATGAGCTTAGTGTGGCTGGCTCAAGCTGATTGGTTTAACCAGTGAACAATGGCTGTTGCACTCTTGTCTGCTTGGCTGTGCCTCTTGTGAGCTCTGGTAGCCATAACACTTCCACTGTTTCTCTCTTAGTTGTGCCTGGCATCTGTGGAGGTCTAGCTAGAATGAGCAGTTTCCATTCCTGGCGTGCTTTCACACTGGAGAGAAAAATACGCAGCTCACTATGTTCAGACCCATGGGACCAACTTTTGTTTTTTTGTTTTTTTTTTCGTTTGCACTATCTTGTCATTTTTGCTTTTTGTGAACCATTCTTAAGGCTTTACAGCCTTTCAGAAGTTCATTAGCTCAGCATTTGGCTTTCTGTAGACTTTTCTTCAGGAACTCCAGCTTCACCTGAGTCCTGCCTCATTTACCTTATGTGGTGTTGTGGGTAAACCATGTTCTTTGCTTTGCCGGTCTTTCAGCTTTTCTGCATGGCTTTAAGACTTCAAGGATACACTTTAGCCCATCTCTAAGATCCTTCAGTGGTTTTCCTGCATCATGAGTATCATGTCCCTCTGAGCAGCTCTCTAAAGCTCCGCACCAGTTTCAGGGTCTTCCGTGGAGAAAGTTCTTTCTTAACTCTCGTGAACTCAGTCCCGTCTTGCCTGGTGAGCTGGCCATCATATAGCAGCTCTCTCATTCCCATTTCTTTCATTATCACTTTCTGCTATGTTTTCCCTCTTAACTGACAGGTTCCAGTGCTTTGGGTCCCATAACAGGGTTAGCTTCTATCTAACTTGCATGATATTTCCCTCCTATGTTGCCAATTTTAAGAGGTGTGGGCTGGTCCACACTCTCTGTCTTTTCTACTTTCTTTTCCAAGCCAGAGGCTAATGGAGAGGCTAGCAAACACACATCCCTTCCATGTTATAATTCTTCCTCCATAACATGTTCCCTCCAAGCCGCTGTCCCAGGCTAAGACACAAAGCAGTGGCCAGGCAACTCCACGGGCAGCTTTGGTAATGTTTTCCTACACCCTGTTCTGTTGGGCTGCAGTATTTGCTGTAGACTGCCAACTGTTCTTAGAGTCTATGCACTCACATGGCAGACCCCAGTCACTCAGCAAGCAAGCATGGCACTCACAAGACCACCAGCGTGGGATTCTCCCACAGACACTCGTCCCTTCAGGGGTTCCATCGTCCTCATAGTTCTCACTACCTAATCCATGACACAAGCAACACTCACTATAGCAAGAAGCACTCTACCACACAACATACAGGGAAGGGCAGTGTATGAGAATTCCCTTCAGCCTTAGCCTGGTCAGCCTCAGGGGCAGGCTGTGTTACCCATCGCCAAGACCATGAAATCACTCTTCCCACACTCACCGTTTCTGTCATTTCCGTATTCAGTTGCCAAGTATGTTGTGTGAGACTTTCCTACACAGACACGACACAAGTTCTGCTCACCCCCAGATAGGGAACCAAGGACAAAGCAAAGTAACAATTCTGCCAGTGTCCATCTTGATGAAGCAGCGAGTCTGTTGGTGTTCCAAGGGGGTCAGGGATGAGTAGAGGTCAGCAGCATCATGGAGAAGCCCACGCCCATACAGGTGATGACCCATGAAAGCTGTATCCCTGGAGCACTCTGTGTGCCCTGCAGGCCAGGCCACAGCCGAGCAGGTCTCCTGGCAGTAGTGTTTGCCACGTCTATAAATTGGGGAGTGGCCTGGGAATCTTGGAAATTCCTGCTTTCCCAGCGGGGTGAAATTTACTTCCCAGCTCCTGAGCTTCAGCTTTCATACAGAAAGGAATGTTTCAAGTTGGAGAGAATTGCTACCTATCAGACTATAAAGAATTTTTTCTCTTTTTTTAAATTCAAAATTTTTTGAGGTAGGGTTTCTCTGTGTAGCCTTGACTGTCCTGGAACTCATTATGTAGAGCAGGCTAGCCATGAATTCATAGAGATCTATCTACCTTTGTTTCCTGAGTACTAGAATTAACGGCATGAGCCATCATGGCCAGTCTCATTTACCCATTTAACTGTTGCGGTAGCATGTGTGAAGTAGTGTCCACTAGAGAAGCTCATTAGACTCATTAGCAACAATTTTCTTTCTGAAGGATAATGGAAGTTTAAAAAGTTCCATAGTATTATGTTGAGTAATTTATCCTTTATATTCATATAAAGTCTATCTAAAAAATACTAAGTTTCTCATACCATCAAAATTTAAATGTTGTAGGAGGAATTTCTAAGGACAAACAGGATCTTGCATGCTAGTGTTAAACCTATTCCAGGGACCAGGGGGAGACAGGAAGTAGAGATGCGCTGTAGGGGGAGGACTGCGGCAGAGCAGCAGCCCCTCCTGTGCCCTGAGCCCAGTGATGAGAGCTGTGCCGCCCCGGTGCTGCTTCTCCACATCCCTCAGTGCTTGCAGTACGACTTCCGTGCCGTGGAGGATACGTGTGGATCCCGCAGAGTCGAGTGAACCCGTGCTCAATCAAGTATGTGCAATGTTTAGGCCTCAGTGCGCTTCGAGGATGTGGCTGTGCACTTCAGCCTGGAGGAGTGGGCTTTGCTGGATCCTTCCCAGAAGAGCCTGTACAGAGACGTGATGCAGGAGACCTGCAGGAACCTCGCTGCAGTAGGTAAGGGCGTCCTCCTACCTTTACTCCAAAATTAGGGACCAAGTGTGTGTCTCTTGGTGTCAGTGCTCTTCTAGGATTTGGACTATTGAAAGGGAAGAATGTGGTGAATAAATCAGCCATGTTTTTTATGGATATTGAAGCTAGAAACTATTTTTTTCAGTGATCTCTAATAATTTATCCTAAGTTTTCTGGGACTGCCTTATAGGAAACAGATGGGAAGAGACGAATGTTGAAGACCATTATAAAAATCCTGGGAGAAATCCAAGGTAATTTATATCAAAAATTGAAGCAAAGGTACTTGGAAGAATTTTAATGTCCCATGAACATTTGAGAAAACAAAGACGGCTTTAAGTTGTTTCATCATTTGGAAAATTAGACCTAAATTATGGCACTAAAAGCCAGTGCTGAAATGTGCCCAATGAGTGTTTGTAGAGTGTTTTCTCTTGTAACTGCTGCTAGAAACTTGCATCAGTGAGTACCACTGTTCTGAGAGCCACACCATAGAATTATCAATCCATTTAGTGTCACACTGTTCAGATGTGTCAGAGAGCGCACACTTCACCTGATTTCGGGAGCAGTGTGTCCCATAAATCCAATAAGCAGTTACTAGTAAAGCAACTGTCACTAATGTTCTTGTCCTTTTTCAGAAGTTCCATGTTAGAGACCCACTATGAGAGTACAGACAATGGTCAGAATGAAGAAACCATGAAGTGGATAGCCAGTCTCCAGAGAAGCATGATGACAGTTTTTTCTGGACTAATACCGTATGAATCCAATGTGTACGGAAAGGATTCCTTGTGCCATGTGTCCTCTAATAGGCATGCCACATCTCACCCTGCTTATAAACATGAACATGAGGAATGTGGATCCAAGCAATATGATTTCAGCTCTCTCACTAGCTTTCAGAAGTGCATGGGAGCTCACACTGGTAAGGAGCCTTGTGGATGTGAGGTATGTTCAAAATCTTTCTATTTTCCAAATTCATTAGGTGTACATCACGAGGCTCACAGTGGAAAAATGCCCTGTCAATACAGGGAGTGTGGAAAGACCTCTCTGTACACGCCTGGAGGAACCCACACAACGGGGAAGTTTTATGAATGTAATATTTGTGGTAAAATCTTGAGTTCTTCCGCTTCCCTTCAAAGACATGAAATGATTCACACTGATAAACTCTATAAATGCACATATTGTGGTAAATCTTTTAGATATCCGAAGTATCTTCGATTACATGAAAGAATTCATACTGGAGAAAAACCCTATGAATGTAAACAGTGTGGTAAAGCCTTTAGATTTCCTGGTTCCTTGCCGTTACATAAAAAAATTCATACTGGAGAAAAACCTTATGAATGTAAACAATGTGGTAAAGCCTTTAGATTTCCTGGTTCCTTACCATTGCATGAAAAAATTCATACTGGGGAAAAGCCTTATGAATGTAAGCAATGTGGTAAAGCTTTTAGGCGTCACTATCATCTTCAGTTACATGAAAAAATTCATACTGGGGAAAAACCCTATGAATGTAAACAGTGTGGGAAAGCCTTCCGACGGCACAGTCATCTTCAGAGACATGAACGGACTCATGCTGGAAAGAAACCCCGTGAATGTAAATAACATGCTAAACCCTGTGCACTTCACAGCTATCTTCTGTTACATGAAAGAATTCACACTGGAGGAAAAAATGCAGTCAGCGTAAACAGCGTTGGAAAAGCTTGCACTTACGTGAACTCGGTCATATTAGATGCGAACCCTATGAAGTAGACACTGTGGTGAAGCCTTTACATGTGATTACCAGCTTCAGTTTCATAAATAAATTTATGCCCGAGAAAGCTATGTGGACATTGTGGTGACGCTCTTAGATGTTACACTTGACAGTGACAAAAACCAACTCATTCTGGAAGGAAATCCTGTGGATGTAAATAGTGTGGCCAAAGTTCACCCATCACACACATGACATAACTGATATGTGCGAAGAAAACCTATAAATGTAAATGTATATATATGTATAAACTCCCCTTTTGTAGACAAGAACGCTTTAGTTCTTTCATACTCAATAAAACTCTTAAGAGTGTAAGCTCGGGGGAAAGGCATCAGCTGTCATGGTTTCATCAGCAGTGAGCCTGTGGGTTACTTCCTGGACCATGGGCAGCTCGCCAGCACAGGCACCACCGCACCACCCATGGCAGCTAGAGTGTTGCCTACAGTCCTGTAGGTCTGCACAACTTGGAGGGAGCTCGGCTGCTCAGAGCCTCTTCCCTCAGCAGTGTGTACTGTTCTGAGTACCTCCTCAGGGCTGTGGGACTTGTAAGTCTGCTGAGCCATGTTCTTCCCTCCTAGGACAGTGTTTCAATTAGAGGGTAGATCTGGACAATAATCCACCGCTTTCTGTGACTCCTGCCTTTATTTGTTTTTTAATTACTTTTTGAGCCTTGGAGAGGGTGATGTTGATATCAGAAATTTTACTGGTGGTTATGAATCTCTGAGGTACACCATCACTGTAAAAGGAAGTGAGCCCCAGGATGAGCTGCAGATAACAGTCACAGTGATCCATGTGCAGAAGTGTGGCTGTTATAAGGCAGTTGGTTAGACACATCACTTCTGTCGGCTCAAACAGTAGCAGTTATTTTGCAGCTGGGGCTGCTGCTGTCTCCAGGCATAGGAGTCTGTCCTGGCTTATGGAACCAGACATGAATGTCCTACTGTAGAGTTGCCTTAAACCCAGTGAGAGTCATGTCACTATTACACCAACAGGCACAGCTTGCTTAGCATGTTGGTACCATAACACACAGGGTCTACGGCTGAGTGACACTGCTGGTGAGGAATGTCTGCAGCCAGTAACACCTGATGAGAGCAGCCAGCATGGAGGAGTCCTCTGGCTCACTTCCATGCTGTTTTTCCATGTCTTGTTGCCAAAGACCTTGTCTTCAGCAGTAGGGTCTCATCCTCTACTTCTGGCATATAAGTGTTGGGATAGGCTTTGTGCAGCATGTAAAGGTTGTATTATTCAAATGTCGGTTTCTATACCTGCAGGGAGCTGAGCACTGTGTGGACTTTGTATTGTTACTCTCATGAAGCATCATCTGAAAACTGTAAACACTTTTCTCTGTCACCTTCTGATTGGTTTAACAGAATGCTGAGATGGCCAGCAGCTGGGCAGGGGTTGAAAGGTGGGCCATCTGGGCAGGGTTAGGAACTCTGGCAAAGAGTCAGATGCAGGGGATTCTCCAGCCAGACATGGAGGAAGATGGATGTATTGGGACTGATTGACAGGTAATAGGCTACATGGCAAATGCAGACTACATTAAATGGGTTAATTAAGTTACATGAGTTAGTTGGGAAATAGCCTAAGCTAAGCGCTTTCATAATAAAAGCTTAGGCTTTCATAATAGTAATGTCTCTGTTATTATTTGAGAGCTGGCCAGTTGAGGCAGTCCAGTGATATATAACCAAGAGCAATGACATCATGGTTTGTGGGGCTTCAGGATCCTCCTTGGCCAACAGTTCGTACTGAGGTAGCCTACCCTTTTCAATGAAATGTTCACTTAAGAACCTTATGGGTGTTCTGTCAGGAGGGTATGTCCTGTACTTAAACAGCTAAAAAGCTGTTGTTTTAAGAGCCCATTAAAAAAACAAAAACAAACAAAACCCACCTGGTTCCAGCCTCTTTTCAGGGTGGGTGGAAGCACCCTTGCGCCTGGTTGTCCTTAGTGCAGGTCTGTGAGTCGGTGTTTGTGAAGTGAGCGCTTCAGTCACTGTCAGTTTTCCGAGCTGGGGGAGACCTTGGCTGGTGGCTTCACGGGTCCCCTGCTCGCCTGGAAATGCTTGTAAGATGTCCAGGGAAGCCTCTACTCATCCCTCACTCATAGGTCCTGTGTGGTTGGTTTGTCATTCCCCCATGGGATAAGTTCGCTTACGTGTGTGCTCTGCCAGAGCCTCTATCTGCCAAGGCTCAGTTGGCACAGACCTCACATGTGAGTGGCACCTCTGCTTTGTGGCCTGGATGTAAAGGTAGGTTCCTGCCAGCATGTGTTTGCTTAGAGTGGCTGAGTGTGCGCATCGTGGTGGCTGCGGACGCTACTGCTCCAGTCCTCCAGTGACATCTGACTGCAACGCCTTTGGCCTTCCTTACTCAACAGCTAGGACTAGGGATTTTCCAGGACTCTGCTGCCAGAATGGGACTACCGGGCACCATCAGGCTTCATGCACTGAGCAGTTGCTGGGTTCTCAGATGTGCCATCATGCACCTGGCCTTTGTTGGGCTACACAGCCCCCCATGTAAGTTCATGTACTGAATGCCCTTCCGACACATGCATATGTTCTGTTCTGTCCTCAGAATTCTCTGGTATAGTTTGCAGTACAAGAAGGGTTGGGACAAAACCTAACTTCTGTAGCTTTGGGGGCACAGTTTCTCTGTAATCCCATGGACCACATATACTGGGCAGGAGAAACAAATGCTTTACACAAAAAACACTTTCTAAGTGCCTGCTATGAGAGGACTTAAGTCAGTTAATTGTGAAAATACAGGTGTCTTCAGGACAGTTGACACGCTTTCCTGTGTCATGGAGGGATTGTTGTGTCTTCATTGGAGCACTGCAATTCTGTTAAGAATGGCATGTTCTACACTTTAAGAAAGGAAAGGCAGACTTAATTTCAACATGCCTGTGATGATAAAGGAAGCAGAGACCAAATGCCTGGACAGTCACAGGATAGATGATAACAGTGGAGAAAGCAAGGACCCTGACCTGTTATTTTTACATGTATGTGCACCACATGCACATACAGAAGTCCCTGGTTATGGCTGTTCTTGGTTGTCAGCTTGACTACATCTGGAATTAACTAAAAACCCAAAAATGTCTAGGCACACCTGTGAGGGATTTTTTGCTCAGTTGGATCATTTTAAGTGGGAAGGTCCCTTTGTAGATCTTGAGGGGGAAAGACACATCTTTAATCCAGATCTTTTGAGCTGGGAAAACCTACCACTAATCTGGTCCATGCCTTCTACTGGAAACCTATATAAAGACCTGCAAGAAGAAGAAAGCTTTTGCCCTCTGCCTGCTTGCTCTCACCTTGCTAGCAAGTCCATTCTTCACTGGCATTAGAGCCTACTTTTTGGGATTCTGACTTAAACTGAATATTTTTGTGGGTATTCACTACAGAAGACTGCTTGGACATGAGTTTCAGCCAATAGAAAGTCTTTATTAGCCAGATTGTGACCACACTGGGTGTTAAGGATTCCACTGTAGCACTGAGCCCTTCTCAGGATGAGCTTTTAATCACAAAATCCATGTCCTGGGTTGACATGCTTCAGTTAACAAAGAACAGTTAGAAGTGAAACTACAGAGGCCCAAAGCCAAGGTTACCAAATGCAGAGACTTTCCTAGGACTCTGGGCTTTGATGGTGTCTTAGGGTTTTATTGGTGTGAAGAGACAACATAAACAAGGCAACTCTTATAAAGGAAAGCATTTATTTGGGGCTGGCGTTCACTTTCAGAGGTTTCGTCCATTATCATCATGACAGGAAGCATGACAGCACACTGGCCAGACATGGTGCTGGAAAAAGAGCTGAGAATTCTATAGCTTGATCCACAGGCAGCAGGAAGTGAACTGACTTAAGCTGCTGAGACCTCAAAGCCCACCCCCACAGAGTGACCCACTTCCTTCAGCAATACCTGCTCCAACAAGGCCGTACTTCCTAATAATGACACTTTCTGGGCCATTTTTATTAAACCTCCACAGATGGATTAGGTCTTTGTTTTAGTTTTGTCAGGTGATGCTGTCTGTGTACAGTCTGAATGGAACTTCCATTATGGAGTCAGTTGTGCTGACGTCTGGGGCCCTGTTACATTCCCCGCTGGTCTTAGTGAATGAGTCAAATCATGAACTCATCCTGCTCTAAAGAAGTATTGATAAAGTAGTTAGGTAGCAGGAACCAAGAGAACAGAGAACTGCAAACAATTATTTGATTTATGTCTTTTTGAGGTTTTGTTGTTGTTGTTTCGACAATGGCTAGATTTTAAAAAATTACTCCTGACAAATTTGCATAGAAACAACAGGGTTTTTTGTTTTTTTTTTTTCCTCCCAAAGCCAAACATAGATTCCTTTATCTCATGAGAAGTAAGTCTAAGCCTCTCCAATTTTGTATGATCATTTCTGCAAGGGAATCTAACTTTTGTTTTAGTACCTCTAGGTATTAACATGTCTGCTTAGTTTGAAAATTATCACATTTACACAGTGGGATACTACTCAGCAATTAAAAACAAGGAAATCATGAAATTTGTGGGCAAATGGTGGGATCATCCTGAGTGAGGTATGCCAGAAGCAGAAAGACACACATGATATATACTCACTTATAAGTGGATATATGACATATAATATTAGAATAAACATACTAAAATCTGCACACCTAAAGAAGCTAAGCAAGAAGAAGGACCCTGGGTAAGATGATCAATCCTCACTCAGGCAAATGGGATGGACATCAGAAGAGGGAGAAAACAGGTAGGTCAGGAACCTACCACAGAGGGACTCTGAAAGACTCTACCCAGCAGTGTATCAAAGCAGATGCTGAGACTCATAGCCAAATGTTGGGCAAGTGCAGGGGATCTTATGAGAGAAGGGGGAGATTGGAAGACCTGGAGGGGACAGGAGCTCCACAAGGAGAGCAACAGAACAAAGAAATCTGGGCCCAGGTGTCTTTTCTGAGACTGATATTCCAACCAAGGACCATGCATGGAGATAACCTAGAACCCCTGCTCAGATGTAGCCCATGGCAGCTCAGCATCCAAGTGGGTACCCTAGTAAGGGAAACAGGGACTGTCTCTGACATGAACTCAGTG